GCCTGTGGACTTGCCCCCTGCACCAGGGTGTGTCCTAGTGTCCCAGAGCTCGTGGCTGACACTCAGGAAGCTCCTACTGCCTGACATCTCTCAGCCAGCCCTTGGCTGGATTGGACCTAGCACTTGGGCCTCTTCTAGACGGAGGTCTGGGGAACGCAGAAGGATATGGGTGGGCTCAAGAGCATCAACAGCACAGGCCTGGCAAAGAACATGGTGTCCCCCTTTTGCACCCTCCTTCCATCCCTGCCAGAGGAAGCCAGCACTGCAAGAGGCCCCAGATGAGTTCTCAGGCAACAAGCCTCTGGTCCATGGGCAGGGAACGATCCTGTTAGCAAAGAGCTCACCTTCAGGGCAGCAGAGGATGGTAAGATCTGCCTGGGCCCCTCCTTGCCCCATATCTCCATTGCACAGATGGCAAAGCTGAGCCCCAGAGCATCCAATGTCACACAGCTAGTTACACCATGACCAGGATAACTGAGGCAGGGTGCTGGGCAAATCCATTGTCTTACTGTCCACGTTGGTCACTGTTCAACCTATAAACCCTCAGCTGATCCTCCCTCTTACCTCAATGACTCCCTCTCTCTTTGTTTCATTTCTCCATTTGTAAGATTGTTCATTTAAACTACAAACTGCTCAGCATCCATAGTTCCCTTTTAGTCTAAAAGGTAGTTGGCTCTGGACCTAATTAGGATAAATCAATTTCAGATAATGCCAATCCCCCTCCACTCCCATTTGCCTGTCATTGTTGAGAGTAACTACTTACTGAGTCATCGGAGAGAAGGCCATCAGATGGAGAAAGGAGATATGCCAAAAGAACAGTCTGAACAAAATGAACATGAGCCCCAGAAAAAAATTTCTTCCCCTTCCCATTGGTACATTTTATCACCTTTTATGTAAGCACACTGCAGCTGAAAACAACGGACAGCAGCTCACTGCTGCCCATGGTGGAGAATCACAGGGACCCTGATGCAGTGGAACCCCAGGGTGATGGAGCACCCTCTACATGCCATGATATGGGACCCAAAGGCAAGAGCCTGTCCCCCTATCCTGCGCTCTGCTTGCTCCCAAACTTCCAAGATGCCTGAGCATCCTCCGTCAGGGTGAGTCTTCAGAAAACTGTGCCTAATCACCGTGAAGACAACAGCAGCTCCCAATTCTTGAGCCCCCAGTATGTGCAGTTTACACGCGTCGTCCCATTTAAAATCCTGTGAGATGGACACCATGGTTACCTGTATTGTACAGATGAGCAAAAAAAGGTTCAACCACATGAAGTAATTGTTCAAGACCACAAAGCCAATTGAGGGCAACCTGGAGTTGAAGCCTGGTCAATCTGCCCCAACCCTGCTGCCGCAATGTCTTTTGGGGAGATAGCCACGGTTCAGAGTCTCTGGGTTTAGCAACGGATCTTCTAGAAGATCCCTGTGAAAAATGAAGCAATGTAGTTTTGAAACAATCAGAGAGATTTAATCATGTACTGGATAATAGGTGTTACCAAGGAAACAGTTAGGATGATAGTGACCTGGTTATGTAAGGAGATGCTTAGGTCTTTAGAAATGCCCCCTGGATTCACATAGCAATGTGGAAATCTGAAATGTGGAATTTACTGTAAAATCATTCATCAGGCAAAAAAAAAAAAAAAAAAAAAAAAAGCGAAAATCTTACTATTTGTTTTTTTTTTTTTTTTTTTTTTTTTT